TCCAAATCGATTTTTGAAAAGCCCGATCCGGGTTTTAAACCATTGCTCAGTCCTATGGGTTTCCTTTTCGATGGTGTAAAGAATCACGCCAAGACCTGGTTGGCATTAACCGCTTTTACCCACCTCAATACCTTTCGTACATACATTTCCCTCTCGGAAGATATAAAAGAATGGAAAAAGTTTATATAAGGATGCTACCTTATAATGTAGAATCGTACATACATTTTCCACTCGGAAGATATAAAAGAATGGAAAAAGTTTATATAAGGATACTACCTTATAATGTAGAACTACGGATGCCTCTCTAAAATCCTTCGAAAAAGGTTGTTTTAATATTGAAAAACCTTTTGATTGATCGTCTCGACATTAACATGTATGACTATAAAAAAAATAAAAAGATTTTAAGTCTAAAAAATAATGCATTTTACAATATATTTTCTACACCGTCTATATTCAAGATTTTCATATGCTTATAGATCTACTTGATTTTAACAATTTTTGAAATTAAAATTTTATAATTAAATATAAAAATAGATTTTGAGATAATCCTAAGAGCATTTTACATCAAAATTATATACGATGGTAAAATTTGAAGGTGCACCTTACCTCTACACCTACGGATGCGTCCGTATGCAAACTGCACCCTCAAAGATAATCCTAAGAGCATTTTACATCAAAATTATATACGATGGTAAAATTTGAAGGTGCACCTTACCTCTACACCTACGGATGCGTCCGTATGCAAACTGCACCCTCAAAGAAATGGATTGTATACAATGAGACCATTTACCATTGGTATATGGTGTTCACAATTATTTACAACTATCCGATATGAAATATGATGTCACAATTATTTACAACCATCCGATATGAAATGTGATAGCTTGGGTGTGTCACAAAGTTCAAGAAAAATTCTTTTGAACTTTGAGTTTGGTCAATAAAATAAATGCAGCCATCCAATTTCACATCCGATGGTTAAGATTAATCGTGACCATCTTGTGCCAAAGGTAAATAAGAAAAAAATATATAGAGACTTCTGATACATGTGAACTCCACTTCCGGGACGAATTTGGTTTTAGTGGCCCAAAAAAGAATATTTTGAAATTGTTGTACAAAATGGTTCTATGAAAATATGCTATACATGCTCAAAAAAGAATATTTTAAAAATATAGAACGATAAAAACAACCCTAAAATTTCACATTATTGTTCACCTAAAACATTGTTAAGCCGCAACGGCTCTCGTAGGGCCATTGTGGGGCGAAAACACTGCAGCATTTCGCCTATATGTGTTTTTAAGGGTTTCACACACACACACACACACACACATATATATATATTAAAAAAGTTTATGTACGCCCATGTACGTACCGCTACAGTAGATGCCCAAGGGCCAAGATCGAATTTGGACCGATTTGACGGTCACGATTGTCCGAGAGTATTTGAATTTCAAATTTTTTTCTACAATTTAGAATGATCTGAAATTTGGCCCGTGTGTACATCTTAGTGAGACGTACCTAATAAAAATATACAAAAATAATTCTAATTTTTTTTTTACCAAAATACCCCAAAAATGTTTCGGGGGTATTTTGGTCAATTTATTTCATGTAAAATATTGTTTTGATATTTTTCGTTGATTCGCATATTTTTTAATGAATACACACTCTAAATTTAAGATCATTCCGATTTTACAGAAAAAAATTAAAAAAAAAATACTACCGGACGTCTGTGATCATCAGATCAACCCAGATTCGATATGAGCCGTTCGACGTTTGCTGTAAGGATACATGAATCGGCATATCATAGCATCTTCTAATATATATATATATATATATAGGATAGACAGAGAGGTCTAGTGTGGTGACAAGTTGTGCAGAATAGAGATATCTTGGAGTTTTGACGCATACGACTACAGGACATCATAAGAGTTGCGCTTGCCAGAGTAGCAGATTTGATGTGTGAGGGCGAGGAGTGGGGTTTTGGCACGGAGGGGGAAGGCCACTCCACTCAATCGGCAACAATGAGTGGATGTCCACATCACCTCACCCACTGCTGCTGCCTTCTCACATCCAACCATCCACATGTGGCCGTTAACGTTAGGGCCAATTGCCATCGATTGACGAGCAACATAGAAGCCTCTTGTCGAGACAGGGTGCCTGCATGAATGAATGGAGATGAAGGGATGCAAGAAAATCGTTGAAAAAGTGAGTAAAGTTAGTTATTAGAGGAGCAATCCCCGCCATTCATCTTATAAAAGAACAACAGTCGGGATAAAGCACATATTTCATGAATATGCTAAATATGGTCGGGTGGAAATTGGGACCCGTGCACCTACAGCCACGTGGGCCCTAGAGCTGACGTGTAGACCGGACCTATGTCTGGGTATGGATCGAAGATTTGGACTCGACGCAGGTCTGAATCCAAATCTTAGACCTGAATAGTATTTGGGTCCGGGTCCAAGCAGACCTAACCCAAATTTTATTAACTTGTTTTATATACACATATTTATAGTTATAACATTTAAATTCCAGGGCAATATGAACCAGGTAGAGAGCCCCAAACGGCAAGCTAGGAAGTTTCAGGGATCATGGAACGACCAGTAGTTGCAACCATGATTGTAAGGTGGCAAGAGGCAGGGATCCAGAGAACTTCCACTCCACCATGATGAAACCACAACAGAACTAACCGATTTCCCTAAAAGACTTTGTGGTGCGACACATGCAACTCAATTCCATGGGCTCAAAAGTTTCTTAGTTTTTCAAGCTCAAAAAATGCAGGTCTCTTAACATTTCAGATTTGGCAGACCCTCTTTGAAAAACGGCTCCATCTGCTTGAGAATTCACTGTGCTTCATTTTGAGAAGATAGGGAGAATGAAATAATTCCCCCATCCATGAATTTCCCATGTATCTGTGATATCAATCTTTCCCATTCTGTAATATGTTTCATGTCATGTCTTGGTGGGTTAAAGAACCCCACCTCAGCAGCTCATAACAAAGACACTCTTTGAGAGCGGATGTTTTCCCCTACCAAGATTGTGTGTTTTCCATTCAGAAACAATTTGTCTAGGGACGGTAGGAATTTGGGTAGTGACTAGTGAAGGATTCAGATTAAAATTTTTCATCCAAAGTTGGTAGGAATTTGGGTGATGATGATAGATATTCAGATTAAGATTCTTTTGTCCAGAGTTGGAAAGAATTTGGGTAATGATAGGCATTAATGGGACATGACGATGGTTTGTGTGTAAGTTTGTGCAGGGGGTGATCTCTCATCTCAGTAGATGATGCACCTTCGGAACATGGGGATCAGTCTGGATCTGATAAGCAGGGGTGTAGAGTAGAAATTTGAGTAGTGAAGCGCCGAAGGGGGATACGGGTGTTAGTGGTTTGGTTTGTTTGCACAGAGGGTAAGACCGAGGTCTCCTTTTTGGGTTATCCTTGTATAGGATGAGATTTTTCTTTTCATTTGGGCTGGCTCTTCCAGGACAGTAGGACATGTGATTAGTTGGTTGTAAAGACTGGAGAGAGGGGGGTTGCGGAGTATGGTATATTCGTTCATGGCAAGGTGAACTGTTAATGGTGTACCCTTATTTAAAATTATTCTAGTTACCTACCATATGTTTATGACTGAGGGTGAATAACTTAGAGTGTCACATACTAAGAGTTGCATCCAGTGTTACTATCATCAGTGAAACAATAAAAAAATTGAAGCAACTAACAAATGCGCAAGAGACATACCTAAAAATGTAAAAGTTACAAATAATACAAGTCTTCTACATACAGAACATCTTCTCCATGTAAAAAATTGCCCAATCCCGAACATCTTCTCCATACCATACAGAACCATTTCTCGGATAAAAGAAAATTGCTCAATATTTGGTGTAAGGCATGCTGGCTTCAAGATAAACTGAACAATTCTTTTATAATTTAATATGCTCAATAGAGAAGTATCGATAACGCAAGACACCCTGTATATACTCTGCATCAGAGTACTCATACATACGGAATTTTTTATTCACATCTACAAACTCGTGAATGAATCATCTAAATACACCACGGGAAGATATACTATAACATGACCTTCGATGTCGTGTTTTGCTGATGTTGCACAGAGCAGCACTGATGCTTTTGCAATCATAATCCATGGTCTTCGTCCAATTTTCAAAGTCTCCAATCTCCTGCAATTCAGTATCACAAACATACATATATAAACAAAGCAAAGTAGAAATAAATTTTTAAAGCAATTTGTTATTATATTTCCACTAAGTACCATGCTTATCTAAATCCACCAATGCCCAATCATTCAAGAAACCATAGACTAATCCTCCAACCTTCTAAATTTCAAATCATTTTGAAAATTGAAATCTGCAGCCTTCAATTGAAATTTGGATGAGATTCCTCATTGCTCCTTTATTTATGAAGAAATTCAAAATAGTGCAGGCCAAAATTTAGGACACTGTTGAATTTGGATAAATTTAACAAGAAAATCACCAAAGCTTACAAAATTTAAATATTAGACAACTACACCCACATTAAATTTGGCTAATTTTTTTTGTCACATAGCTGAAAACATAGAACAGCTGACGCGTTTCTACCAAGGCCAAAACGGAATTTCAAGCAAAACTTGACTAAAATGTAATTGCAATCTAAAAAATGCAGTTGCAATCTAATATGTATAGCTTTTATTAATCTGAACAAAATCCTCGAAGGCACAAGAAATAAGGTTCAAAACCTAAAAGAAAAGAAAAAGAGAAAAATAAGGGCTTATGATTCTCAGAGAAATCTCAGGGATTAGGACTAGGAAAGGTTGGTATCAGACGTTTTAATAGATTCAGTCCAAGATCCATTGTGGTTCTTTTCCACTTTTAGTATGACTAACAATCATTGCTTGTCCTACTCTTATCTGTAAACCATGTCATTAAGTCGTTGCTCAACCCCCTGGTTTCAAGTTTTAAATCTATGGTTAACAACCAAGCACCAGGAGACTTGAAAGAAGGATTAGATGTTAAGATATATGTTTCCTTTAGTATTTAAACATTAGGTTCCTAGGCAATTTCTTCCTGAAGGACACTCATACCAAAACTCTGAAACCTCAATTTTATGAACTATGGTTCCATCTAATTTGAGCCAACTTAAGCACTTTATAAGTTCAAACTCCAACCCTAACACGATGGCATGGAGTCCAAAATGTTGAAACCCCGACAGTCAAGATGAAACCATCACTTACGAAAATTTCCATTCCAGAGTGGGAACACATCCATGAACAGGATTTTAAAATTAAATTTTGTATAGATTGATTGCCCAGTGATATAAAAAATGAGCAGGCCTGATTTGTGCCACAACATAAAGAATGAAGGCTAATGACGAGATATCACCTTTTGTTTTTGACAAATAAGAAGAGATATCACCTTTATCGCAGAGTTGATAGCATGGGAAGCAGCAAGCCACTGGTTCGTTTGCTTTGTATATCGCATGATAGTACTCGCCAATGCACGCGTCTCAAATTCAATTCGTTTCTCATTTATAAAGGATTCTTGCACCCCACCATTAACACTATCAACCAGAAGTCCCGAAACATGAAGCCAACTCCTCAAAGCATCTTTCTTAGCATTCTCTATCCAAAAAATGGGACATCAAATAAAATGGTGTAACTAAAAAAGTACTAAGATGTGCATTAAGATGAACCCCACATAAATATAGTGTTGTCTGGTATTGTTTATGAAATAGTGGTCGCACAGCCACACCACCTTGTGCAACATAGCCATTACATAGCCACGCCAATGAGGCTACCCTTTCTTTGTCAGAAAATTGAACCAGTATGGGCCCAGCCAATGGTGGTAAATAGAAGAAGTGCTAAATATAAATAAGTCCATTTCTCATTAATTTTCTGGCTCTGTGGATGGACCAAGAAACTGGTACATCAAACAATTTCATCTTATTGCTTTACAAAATTTCACTGTTGTTAGCCTCTGTTCTTATCATAGTTAACTGTTTTTGATACAATTCAAAAAAAAAAAAAAACATTGAATAAATAAAAAGAAGAAAAAATGGTTAATTATCTATCCTACAGTTGAACTTGGTTTTTGTCGTGGTTAATACTTAACAGTAAAATCAGTTTCCATTCAGTGTAGAAAAATCAGGCGGCTCAAACTCTAATCGTCAAGTTAGAGTGGAACTGACCATTGGCCGGTTTTGGTGACCCGGACCTGTATTTTAAAAAAATTATATAAAATCCCCAAAAATAAGAGATTTTAATTGTATTGTTTTTTTTTAAAATGTTTTTCATCATTGTTTTAACAAAGATTGGAAATTATTTGGGCATTAGTACTTATTTTATATTTTCCCATCTCTTTTTAAAAAAATTTGAAAATAACCCTAGGCATAAATATATTCTTTAAAATCCATTTCTTCATTAATTTTCAACTTTATTTGGATGGACATTGTTTAATCATGATTTGAATATACTTTTCGAATTTTTTAGATTTTTTTTTATTAATTTTTATTTTTAACAATTTTTTAGTTGCTTGGGAGTTGCCCGATTAGGCCAGTTGAACCGGCTGGTTTACTACTATTGTTTGAGGAGATTTTATTTTACTTTTTTTAAAAACAAATACCACGGAAATTTCTTACCCTCGCATTGCTTCATGAGGAGGTGGCGCAAGTGCCCTATTCATCATCTTCAAAAGCACATATCATTTATTCATCATCTTCAAAAGTACATCTTAAAATTTTAATATTAACGGACTGAATAAA